TAAAAAATGTGTGTGTGTGTGTGTGTGTGTGTGTGTGTGTGTGTGTGTGAAGTATACATATGTAGGGGTACCCATGGTAGCCAGAAGAGGGTGACACAGATCCCTGGAAGCTAGAGTTAACAGGCTGTTCTAGTTTGCTTCCTCTTGCTGTGTGATAAACACTGGCCAAAAGCATATCACAGTCCATCTCTGAGAGAAGTCAGACAGAAAGTCTAGGTGAGAACCCTGGAGACAGGAACTAAAGCAGAGACTACAGAGGGATGCTGCTTACTGCCTTGCTTCCCCTGGCTTGCTCAGCTACCTTTTTCATACAGCCCAGACCCACCTGCCCACAGTGGGCTGGGCCCTCCTACATCAATTAGCAGTCAAGAAAACATCCCACAGACATGACCACAGGCCAGCCTGATGGAAGAAATGCCTCAATTGAGGTTCCTTCTTCTCAGGTGTGTCAACAAAATCAACCAGCATGCAGGTGATTGTGAGTCACCTAATGGGAGTGCTAGGACTCAAACTCATTCAGGTTCTCTTCAAGAGCAGTAAGTGCTCTTAAAGGTGAGCCCTCTATACACCCTCTACCAAGACCTTTAAATAGAAAGATGACTCCTTCCTCTTCTTTGGAAAGACCTTAGTGGTTTGGCTCACAGTGTCAGAGATTTCAGTCCATCTTGACCTGCATGGCATTGTAGGACAGCTCAGTTCATGGTGTGAGAGTGTGTGATGGAGCCTGTTCACAATATAGCAGGCCAGGAAGCAGAGACAGCAGTGTAAACTATGGGCCTTCTTCAAAGACCCACCATTAGTGACCTAATTCCACCAGTTAGACCCCAGCCTCCCCAAATAGCAGCACCAATTGGGGAACAAATGTTCAAAACATTAGCCTGTGGAGCCATTTCAGATTCAAACCCTAATATAGCCCTCCCCTCACTGGTACAGAGCAATGGGAACCTCTTTTGTGCCTGTCTTAACGTGGCCATCGGAAGAGCCTATTTGTATTTTTTAGTTTTCCTGCAAGATCTATCTTTTCATCCCTGCTATGTCACTCTGACAATGCTTATCCTGAGACCAGCTAGTCTCCTCTGGGTCTCTGGTTTCTTTATTTAATGTAACTTCCCACCCTTATCAAAGAGACTGAGGTGGGGTGCATGGAGTTGGGGTCCCTTTCTTATTATACTGGGAATCAAGTCTAGAGGCTCCTTGGCAGGAAAAGTTACAACTTCTGTCTCCTATCTGGCCTCTTAAAAGAGGAAGGCCCCCAAGTACTTTTGACAAAGGAGAACCTAGATTGAATCACTCAGACTAGGGGGGCTCCCAGGCATGCAGACACCACCCAAGCATAGAAAGGCCAGAAAACCCCCACCAGCAGTTGTAAGAGGAGGGCAGAGCAGAAACTGAGGCTGGTCATCCCTCTCTGCTGCAGGTCTGAAGCCCCGTGGCGTGGTGGTGAATATGATCCCTGGGCTGCCTGCTCACATCCTGTTCATGTGTGTGCGCTACGCGGACTCTCTGAATGACGCCGACATGCTGAAGTCCCTCATGAACAGCACCATTAATGGCATCAAGCAGGTGGTGAAGGTAGGGGTGCCTGATTTGGTAACACCTCTGGTAGTGGGCAGACACCCACTCTTTGCTTACCTCTGGCCTTTGATCTTTGGTGAACTGTGTGATTCCTCAATGAAGCAAAGCTACTAGGAAAAGACAAGTGGATAAGGATCAGCCAGTAGATCTCAAAGCTTTATGGAGAGACTGCATCCTGGTAGCCACCTCCCTATCCCTCCATCCTCTTGGGTGTGAAGATGTGCTCCACCAGCATAGCAATGAGGAATGGAAAATGAAAAATCACTCATCCCCCACTGACAAATATATTCTCCTTCCCAAAACCATTATGTTACTGTTATTCCTGGACCAGTTAAAAAAAAAAGCCATGTGTTCATTAGGTTAGTGACTTTAATAAGGCTAAGATACTATAGCAAAGGGATAACTTCCACCCAACTCCCACCCCCAAATATGCAGCGTGTTGAAGAAGATGGAGAGTTTTCCTGTGTCTGGAGCCCTCACATAATGTGCCACCCACTGGAGGGCAGTTCTGCTCCACACAGTCACCAGGGCCTCAGGTTCTGTCCAGCCTGTTCAATGCCACTCCCTGGCTGTCTTCATCAGAATGAGTGGACAGCTACTGTAGGGGAGGAACCCACGTATGTACGGTACTCAAATCAGAAGTTACCAGCTGAACTCTATGACCAATCTCCTCACCATGCAACATGTGGACAATGAAAACAAATGACAAGGACAAAGAGCAGGATTGTGTGAAGGCCAGAGATCCACCTGCCTCTGCCTCCTGAGCCCTGGGACCAAAGGTGTGGGCCACCACTACCAGCGCCAGAAACTTAGTAATAAAGGAGAAAATGACTATAAGTAAGCATCAAAGCCTTTATAAACAGACTGAGTGTACCACACGGTGGTAGCTTTGTAAAGAGAGCTCTCTGCTAATGCCTGGTTCAGCCTGGAATCTGGACAGCCACTGGCTGAGCCTGACTAGAGTCACTGCTGTAGCACCCAGCAGAGCCTACTGTTCTGAGTTTAGGAATTCCATTAGCCATAGTTAAGTGGTGTTTGTACCCAGCCTACTTTTTCCTTCCATGAAATAACCATTTAGTTTATAGTTATGGGGTTGGGGGTATGGCTCTGTTTGTAAACTAAGTCTGTTTATAAAGGCTTTGATCCTGTTTGTACTTGCTTAGCATTCACAAAACCTTGAGTTTGATCCCCAGAACCACATAAAACTAGGCATGGTGGTACATGCCTGTAATCCCAGCACTTGGGAGCTGGAATCAGGAGGATCAGAAGTTCATGGTCACCCTCAGTTACATAGTAAGTTTGAGGCCAGCCTGAGCTACATGAGATCCTGTCTAAACATTTTTTAACTTATTTTATAAAACAACAAAACAGTTAAATTTTTGTATTTTAAAAGTCCATGTTTCTGAGCACAAAAATGTGCTGATCCACATGGAAAGATAACAAATATAGATCCTTTTTTTTTTTTTTCGGTCATTTTGAGACAAGGTCTCCCTTGTAGCCCCAGCTGGCCTGGAACTCACTATGTAGACCAGGTTGGCCTTGAACTCAGCCTAGATCCAATGTTTTTATGGGAAATAAAATTCTTCTCTAGAAGAGAAACACTGTTTGATGTGGTGATATATTCGAATGTATAGAACACCTACCTCACTTTTAGCAAAATCTATATTCTAGAAGCAGAAAGCCCTATTTTAAATATTCCACCAACAAGGAAGCCTAAAAACCTTATATGTATGACAGGACAGAGTATGGTGATTCTCTCTCCTAAAAATGTGCTCCAAGAATCGATTCTTCATTTGGAGCTAAAGAAAAGGAGCCTAGCCAGGTGTGGTAGTGCACACCTTTAATCCAGCACTCAAGAGGCAGAAGCACACTGATCTGTGTGAGTTCAAGGCCAGCCTGGTCTGCATAGTGAGTCCTAGAGCAGGCTGGGGCTACATAGTAAGACTTTCTTAAAAAAAGAAGAAAGTGGGACTGGAGAGATGGCTCAGCGGTTAAGAGCACTGACTGATCTTGTAGAGGACCCAGGTTCGATTCCCAGCACCCACATGGCAGCTTTAAACCATCCTTAACTCCAGTTCCAGGGGAATCCGAAGCCCTCTTCTGACCTCCGCGGCATCACGCAACAGGGGTGCACTCACATACACGCAGGCAATACATTCATACACATAAAATAAAAAATAATAAATAAAAAATAGAAAAAGAAAGAAGAAAAAAGAAAAGAAAAAGAACCTTTGTTTTGTGCTAATGCATAATAGTCACCAGAGTGTTTTCAGTGTTTTCAGGAGCAACTTCCAGAACTGACACCCTGTTTATATGTTTACAAATGGGTTTTCCTTTTTTTTTTTTATTTTTTTGAGACAGGGTCGCACTATGTAGCACTAGCTGGCCTACAACTCACAGAGATCCACCTGCCTCTGCCTCCCAAGTTCTGGGATTAAAGGGCAGGGCCCAGCTTTGGGTTTTCTTAAGACAAGACAGGCTGCCTTTTGTTCCAGCCACAGACATGTGGTGTTTGCCTGGCCTTGCTGCTTAGCTAAGTATTTACACTGAAATACTGATGGTGTGCTCCCTTTACCTTTGTGCCCTGACCTGCCCCACCCCACCCCACCACCTGCACATAGCACAGTAAACCCAGTGCTTATTTGGCTCATCTGTGCTCTGCAATCTTTTCCTTCCCCTGCCTGCCAAAGTGCTGACCGCAGGGCCTCCATCCATTCTCTCCCCCTCTTTGCAACCTGTAGATCCCCTTACTAAATCTAGTGGTGGGATTTTGGGCTCTATTCTCATGAAATCAAAGCATTAGCACCAGTTCTAATGTTCCTTTCTTTTTCCTTCCATCTCTTCCTGACCCATGACAGGGTTTCCTCAGCCACCCTTGAACGTGAGCCTCCATTTCTTTCTTGCCCTTTGTGGCAGATGCTCCCACCCTGCTGGTGAAGTTGTCTCATCATCACCTCTCCATTCTCTGAGCTTTCTGAGAACAGTCTAGCTAACCATCTGCACATGTGACTACTGATTTAACTGTGTCCTACCCCTATCATGTTATGAGCTGAGCAAAGACAGGACAGCATCTCCTGAATCCCTGCAGCTCCCAGCTTCTGGCATAACCTATTTCTATAGGTTGCAGCCTATCTCATAAGTAGAAACTATTTTCATTATAATATAAATTGGCTCAAGGCTTTAGTGAACAAAAGAAAATTTAGCCTTGGTCAAATTCTACCAACTAACCCAATAGAAAAGGTAAGTCTGTTCTAGGCTCAGAAACACCAGTCACCCAGCATCATCTTTTCTTATTTAAGGAACACTTAGAAGACCTGGAGATGCTGTCCTTCTGGCTCTCCAACACTTGTCATTTCCTCAATTGCCTGAAGCAGTACAGTGGAGAAGAGGTAAGAACTCCTGCCTGCCTTGCTAAAGCCTGTGACTGCCCATGATCCCACTCTCACAGAGGGATTGGTGCCCAGGATGCCCCACTCCACACAGCCTCTGTGCTGGCTGGCTTGCTGGCCTCCTCTTCACCCAGGAGGCCACTCTGCCCATCACCTGATATATTCCTGTGTCTTTACCACAGGCATGAGAGTCCAAGTAGTTTAGACCTTGGGCTTAGTGCCAGGTCTTCGTTTCTTTGGTTTTCAAGTCAATAGGAAGATGAGATAATCTTTTTCTTCTGACAGTAATGTCCTGTGGTTTTTACTATTATGACCCTAGAGTGTAGCCTTTGGTTCAACATGCTTGTTCCTCACTAGCTGTTCTCTCTAGGAGAGTCTGATTTCTTTCCCAAAGTCTGTGAGGAGATTTCCTTTGGATCCCACTCTTCTTCTGGGAGACGTTCATGAACATTATGGTATTCTTTATCCTCCAACCTCACAGGGAAATTTTCATTAAAACAAAATAGCCAAGTGGCTTTTAGAGTATTTTTTCCTTCCATATTCGAAGGCCAGAGCAGGATGTCGGAGATCTTCCTCTATAGCTCTCTGTCTTATTGAGACAGTTTGACTGAACCAGAAGCTCGTCACTCAGGCTAAGCTGAGGCTCAGTTGCCTGGCCAGTGAGCACTCAGGTTTTGCCTGTCTCTGCCCCACAAGGCCGGTGGTACAGGCATACACAGCCATGCCTGGATGCTGCAGATTAGAACTGAGGTCCTCATGCTTACAGAGCAAATGCTCTTACCCACTGAGCCATTTCTCTAGCCTTATTTCTAAAATGATTGTATCATCTTATAGTCCCACCAGCACTATATGAAGTTTTCAATGTCTCATACCTTGACCATCACTTGGTATCAATAGATAGCTTACTTTACAGATCTCAGGAGTACAAAGTGATACCTTGTGGTGTGAGTTGCACTTACTGGCTACTTGTGAGGTCCAGCATCATGTCAGGTGCTTGGTCATTTGAGTTTCCCTTTTGAATTTCCTGGTCACATCCTTTCTCCATTTTTCTTTGAGTGGATTTTTTTTCATATTTGTTTGTCAGAAGTCTTTACATATTATTGGTATGCTATGATTTGTCTTCCAATTTTCCTTATGGAGTCCTTTGTCATGGATAGCTTTTAATTTTTGATGTGCTTAAATACACCAATCCTAGTCTTTTTATGATTTTTGTCTTTACCCTAAGATCATGCGTAAAACCCTCTTTGTGTGCATACAAGTCCACTATGATATTTCCTTCAGGAAGGCAAGTCTATTTGCTTGTGTCTTTGTCAGTGAATTTCTTTTAAGATTTGTTTTTATTTTGTATGATTGCTTTGCATATATGAATGCATACAATGCCCAGAGAAGCCAGAAGAGGGCATTGGATTCCCTGCAACTGGAGTTACAGGCCATTGTGAGCTGCCCCATGTGGGAGCTGGAAACTGAACTCAGGTCGTCTCTAAGAGCAGTGCTCTTAACCATTAAGCCTTCTCTCCAGCCCCTAATAGTATCTCTTCTTATGGGGACATTAATTCTAGCAGATCAGGGCCTTGCCCTTATGATGTTATTTAACCTTAAGTACCTCCTTAGAGCTTCCTTCTCCAATTACAGTCACACACACTGTACTGGGGGAATAGGGCTTCAACGTGAACTGAGGTGGGAGGCACAACTATTCAAGCATAGCACACATTTTACAATATTTCATATTGGCCTACACCTTGTAACTACACAGTCATTTAACCTACTGACAGCAATTTCTTTCTGTGGATGCCTCTTCAGTGTGCTCTATGAACTTCTATGGGAATTTTTTCCATTAAGTTGTGGACTTCAGGGGCCCAAATTCATAGAAGAGTGGGCAGTGTAGTAGCATTTAGTGTAACTGACCAAGATCATAAAACAAAATCACTATTTTTCTCATATAACATAAACATTACCCCATACTTTAATAACTCATTTAAATCAAAGTAGACATTAAGTTTTAAGATGCAAAAATTACTCTAGATGATAATTATGATATCAGTATAGATCATATTTTAGTTTTCTATGTGTCTACAGCATTCTAATATCTATGCTCCAATTGCTGCCAGGAATTCATGAAGCATAACAGTCCACATCAGAAAAAGAACTGCTTGAACAATTTTGATCTTACGGAATACAGACAGATCCTGAGTGACGTGGCTATACGGATATATCATCAGTTCATTCTTGTAATGGAAAATAACATCCAACCAATAATAGGTAAGAAGAGGCTTGATGACCAAAAGATAGTAGTAGCACTGAGACTTTTTGTTTTTAGAGACACAGCCTCATAGTCCAGGATGACCTCAAACTTGCCATGTAGCTATAGCTGAGGTTAACCTTGAACTCCTGATCCTCCTAGCTCTACCTCCTGAGTGCTGGGATTACAGGCAGATGGCACCATGCCCATTTTAAAAAGAATTTTTATTTTTATTTTATTTGTATGAGTGTTTTGCCTATGTGTATGTAAGTATACCATGTACATTCAGTGCCCTTAGAGTTCAGAAGAGGGTGTTAGTTCTCTTGGAACTGGAGTTACACATGGTTGTAAACTGCCATGTGGTTGCTGGGAACTGTACCTGGGTCCTCTGGAAGAGCAGCAAGCACTCTTAAGCACCAAGTCATCTCTCCAGCCCTAATGCCCAATTTTATGCAGTGCTGAGAATCAAATTCAGGGCTTCATGAGTACTAGATAAGCAGTCTACCAGCTGAGCTACATCCCCAGCCAAAAGACTTTATTTCATTCATTCATTCATTCATTCATTCTACTATTGCAGAGGGTTTGTTTATTCTTCGAGAATTTTATACATGTAGACATTTCACAGTCAGGGAGACTGGTTGAGGATTTGGTCTGGAGACAAAGGCTGCTCTCTGAAGAGGCTCTTCATGTCACACCCCTTTCCCTACCTCCATCCTTTTCATGTCCGCTATCTCTATCTCACTCTCACTCCCTTTTAAAAATTTTTATTTATTTATTATTTATTTTTATGTGTATGAGTGTTTACATAAGTGCTCCCATGTCATGCAGTGCTCACAGAAACCTGAAGAGGGTGTTGGATCCCTGGAACTGGGGTTACAGACAGTTGTTAGCAGCCATGTGGGTGCTGGGAATGGAACCTAGGTCCTCTGCAAGAGCAGTGCTCTTAACCACTGAGCCATCTCTCCTGCCCCCTCACTCTTTTTTTTCTTTGAAATGAGGTTTCACTGCATAGCCCTGGTTAGCCTGGAACTTTCTACGTAGTCCAGGCTGGCCTCATACTTATAGAGATCAGTCTGCCTCTGATTCCCAAGTGCTAGGACCAAGACTTTTTAAAATATAAATATTATATACAGTATATGCTTTTCAAACAGATTAAAATATACATATTGTATATGGTATATGTTTTTCAGAAAACATGGTCACAAAAATGTCTACCTTTAGTTCTTTGTTTGATTAAGGTGATTCCATAAATAGCAACCAATTGATCATTTTTTCCTGTAAGGAAACCCCAGGAACAACTTATATTACGTATTATATGACCTTATGTGACCACGTCAAGTGTTCTAGTTTGGTTATTGTTATGAGAAAACACTATGACCAAAAATAACCTCTGAGGCAGTCTGCCTCTGCCTCCCAAGTGCTGGGACCAAGAGACTTTTTGCACTATAAATATTGTATATGGTATATGTTTTTCAAACATAGAATAAAATATAAATATTGTATACGGTATATGTTTTTCAAACATAGTTTGAAAAACTAAGAAAACATAGTCACACAAATGTCTACCTTTAGTTCTTTGTTTGCTGGTGATTCCATAAATAGCAATCAGTTGATCATTTTCTTCCTGTAAGGAAACCCCAGGAACATATGCTATGTATTATATGACCTTATGTGACCATGTCAAGTGTTCTAGTTTGGTTATTGCTATGAGAAAACACTGTGACCAAAAATAACCTGGGGAGGAAGAGTTTATTACATCCCATACTTCCAAGTGGCAGTACATCTTTGAGGGTATTCAGATAGTAACTCAGGGCAGGAACTTGGAGGTGGGAGCTGAAGCACAGACCACAGAGAAACACTGCTTACTGGCTTGCTCCCCCGGCCTGTGCTCAGCCTGCTTTCTTAAACAACCCAGGCCCACCTGCCCAGGAGTGGCATCAACCCACAGTGGGCTGGGCCCTCCCACATCCATTGAACAATCAAGAAAATGCCTCACAGACATGGCCATAGGTCAGTCAGATAGAGAGTTCCCCAATTAAAATTCCCTCTTCCCAGGTGTCTCAAGTTGATGACAGAAGCCAACCATGACAGCAAGTATTTCTAAAACCTTTAAATTCCATTCAAATTTGTGTATACTTTCCTCAGTTGTCTGAAACTTAAATACCTCAGGCTTTAGATGATTCCTACTCACCAGTTCCCCTTCCTGTGGGGTCCACAGTACTGTTCCAAGCCTCCAGGAGGATCTCCTGCCCCTTGTAAGCAGAGGTCCATGCCCTTCCATACTCTGGTGCTCCAATGGGCTCAGTTCTCTTTTTTAATGTATTAGTTACTTTTCTTATTGCTGTGAAAAAAATACCTGAGAAAGCAACTTAAAGAAGGGTTTATTTTGGCTCATAGTTCCAGGCAACATGTCCATCATGGCCAGAAGTGTGAGGCAGCTGGTCATATTGCATCCACAGTTGAGAAGCAGAGATAAATGCTGGTGCTCAGCTCGCTTTCTCTTTAAAATTTTTTATTTTTATTTTATTTTTGTTTTATGTGTATCAGTGTATTGCCTACATGTATGAAAGTGCACCCGTGCTGTGCAATGCCTGCAGAGGTCTGAAGAGGGCGTCAGATCCCCTGTAACTGGACTTACAGACAGTTGTTAGCTGCCATGTGGGTTCTGGGCATCCAACACAGGTCTTCTGCAAGGGTAGCCAGTGCTCTTAACCTCTGAGTCATCTTTCCAGACCCCGGCTTTCTCCTTTTTATTCAGTCTAGAGCCCCAGTCCATAGAATTGTGCTCCCCTACACTTTGGATGGATCTTCTTACCTCCATTTGCCTAATCTAGAAATTCCCTCACAGATAGGCCCAGAAGTTTATCTTCTAGGAGATTCAAAGTCCCATCAAATTGAATTAAGATTAACCAGCATTGTCTATCACAACTGTATCCACTGACTGCACCCACAAGAGGATAAGGAAGAGGCTACCTGGCTGACCTCTGTGTAAAGAGCGTCTGTCTTCCTCCCAGTCCCAGGCATGCTGGAGTACGAGAGTCTGCAGGGCATTTCCGGCCTGAAGCCCACCGGCTTCCGGAAGCGCTCATCCAGCATAGATGACACAGATGCCTACACCATGACCTCCGTCCTACAGCAGCTGAGCTATTTCTACAGCACCATGTGCCAGAACGGCCTGGACCCTGAGCTCGTGAGGCAGGCGGTGAAGCAGCTGTTCTACCTGATTGGTGCAGTAACCCTCAACAGCCTCCTTCTGCGCAAGGACATGTGTTCCTGTAGGAAAGGGATGCAGATAAGGTAACACACACAAGCCACGCCTCCCCAGACAGGTTGGTGGGGGGGGGAACGCTTCTGAAGGCCAGCCCACTCCTGCCTGACCTTCCCTGCCATCCCGCTGGTGTGTGCCAGGCCACTCTGAGCCTCCTGAGTATTGACTGTTGATTGTTCTACATCCACCCAGTATTCACACCTGCTCTGTGAACAGCACTGCCAGGTGGGAACATGGAGACCTCAAAATAGCTAAGTAGCAATTCAAGGCATGAATGGTTAACTCACAAACAAGCGGTGCAGGAATGCTCAGAGACAAAAGATTACTGGACAGAGAGGCTGTTAGGTGATAAAGTCCAGTCCAGGCAGGGAAATGGATGAAGACACAGGGTGGAGCCGAGAGGGAGCCCAGCCCAGGCTGGGTCTGGATGGTAAAGGTCTGTTTGGCAGGACCCAGCAGGGCTGAGGTAAAGAGGTGGGTTGAATCCAGAGGTAAAGGGTCTAGAATGGAAGTGAAAGCATTTGTAGTTCAACCGGAGGAGGGGGATGGTAGCACACAGTTTGGAGATCCATCAACCCCAGCTTTAACTGAGGAGCCACAGAAGCCCATTATTAGGAAACATACAGCATGGGAGAGATGTTTCAGGTATGTGTGGTATATGTGGGCATGTGACACCTGTGTGTGATATGAGAGGTAATGAACTGAGGGAAGATATCAAAGAAAGTATTTCAAGCCAGGAAATCACTGTGGGGCATCCATTATGCCTTTTTAGCACTAGTGAAAGTTGAAGTTGTATTTCACACAAACCAGGTGGGCAAAGACCCATGGCATTAGGTTATGGTTTTCAGATGCAAAGGGGAATTCAAAAATGCCAGTCTTTGTGGATCTTCAGCGCTTCATTGAGAAAGGAAAGAGTTCTGAACACTTCGCAGACTCTAAGCAGATGCCCTGAGCCTGAACAAGCCTCAACCTAAAGACTGAGGAGAGGGCCTGGGAATGAGGCTCAGTTGATAGAATGCTTGTCTAGCATGTGCAAAACCCTGGGTTCAACCCCTAGCACCACGTAAACCTGGTGGTGCATGCCTATAACCTTGGACTTTTTCATTGCCTTTCTCTTATGTTTTATTTAAGTCCGTGAATGGTCATAGATCATACTTGGTCAGCCAAACTTTTAGAAACAAAAGGTAGAATGATGGGGGACTAGGGAGATGGCTCATTGGTTAAGAGAACCTGCTGTTCTTCCAGAGGGCCTGGGTTCAGGTCCCAACACCCATATCATAGCTAACAACCATCTGTAACTCCAGTTCCAAGGGATCTGATGCCTTCTGCCCTCGAAGGGCATTGCACACATGTTGTACACATGTTGTACATTCAGGAAAAACACTCATACACATAAAATTAAAATAACAAAGTATTTTTAAAGTAGAACGATGATTCCCCCAGGCATTAAGGAAAGGGATTATGGTATTAGAATGAGCAGCAAACCCACTTTTCCAGGACTTTCGAGTTTTATTGGGGGGGGGCTATATATGTGTGCACAAGTGTACTTGCCTGTGTGTACATCTGTGGAGGCCAGAGGCTGAAGTCAGATATCTTTCTCTGTTGTTCTCTACCTTATTTTTTGAGACAGGGACTCTGATTGAGCCTGAAACTCACTGTTTCTGCAAGTCTGGCTGGCCAGTGAGTCCCTGGGATCCACCTGTCTTCTCCTCATGGCCAGCACTGGGGTAACAGGCACATGCTGGCACACCTGGCTTTTATGTGGAGGTTGGGGGATATAAACTCAGATCTCTATGACTGTGTAGCAGCAAGACTTTATCCAGCTCCCCAGTCCTATTTCTAAATATTTTTATAGTTAAAAAGCATGGCTTATATGATTTTTATTGTTTTAAATTCTTTGAGATGGGCTTATATGACACAGCATCTGGTCCTTGTTTGTAAAGAGTCTACCTTCCACTGGAAAGAATGTGTGCTGTGTTGTAGGGCTAAATGTTACGTAAATGTCAAGCAGGCCTGCTTGTCTGTAAATATGCTCAGCTCTGTATTCTGGCTGATGTTCTTCTAGTTCTATTAATTACTAGGTCCACCTACATGCAGAGATTTATTTCTTCTATCACTCTGTCAGGTCTTGCTTATTGTACATTGAAGCTCTGTTATGTGCTTAGAAGTTAAGAATTGTTATGTCTTCTGGGAGAACTGGTCTTCCTGTCTTTATATAATGTCCCTCTTTATCCCTTCCAGGTAATTTTCTCTTCTCTGAAGTATGGCCACTCCAGATTTCTTCTGATTGGTATTTTCACAGCATATTTTTTCTATCCTGTTACTTTTTTTTTTTTTTTTTTTTTTGGTCTTTTTGAGACAGTAGCCCCAGCTGGCCTGAAACTTGTTTTTTTTGGTCTTCTTGAGACAGTAGCCCCAGCTGGCCTGGAACTCACTATGTAGACCAGGCTGGCCTTGAACTTACAGAGATCCGCCTGCCTCTGTCTCCCAAGTGCTGGAATTAAAGGCGTGCGCCACCACACCCAGCTCTATCCTGTTACTTTTAACCTACCTATGTCATATTTCATCAAGAAAGTGCGCTTCTTGTAGATAGCATTCACTAGTGTCTTGGTGGTTGAATTTTTTGAAATTTTTAAAAATAGGTTTTTTTTTATGTGTATGAGTATATTGCTTGCATGTGTGTAAGTGCACCCATGCTATGCAATGCCAGCAGAGTCAGAAGAGGTCATCAGATCCCCTGGAACTGGAGTTACTGACAGTTGTTAGCCACCATGTGGATGCTGGGAATCAAACCTGGGTCCCCTGCAGGAGCAGCCAGTGCTCTTAACTGCTGAGCCTTCTCTCTAGCCCCAATACTTTTATTTTCAAATTATGTATATGGGAGGGAAATGTGCATATGAGAGCAGATGCCCACAGAGACCAAGAGAGGGTATCAAATCCCCTAGAGCTGGAGTCAGAGGCTTTTGTGAGCTGCCCTGAGTGGGTGCTGGGAACTGAACTTGGATCCTCTGTAAGAACAGCAAGTGCTCTGAACCACTGAGCTTTCTCTCCAGCTCAGATGGCTGGTTTTTTTTTTTTTTAATCCATTATGACCATATGTGCTTCTTAATTTGAGGTATTAAGAACATTTTAATTTAATGTAATTTTTAATGTATTTA